GCGCTGTCATTAGCGCTGGACAAACACTGTAATTGCCAAGTGCCTACCTGAGTCTGGAGGGGCCAGAGCCTGCTGGGGGCCCACGTGAGCAATTCTAAAGTGTTCCAGGGCAAGCTCACAAGTGTGCGTGTGTGTGTGTGTGTGTGTGTGTGTGTGTGTGCCTACAGAATCAAGCAGAACCAGCTCTGACCCACCGTGCAGGTGGGGGCTGTTGGAACACTGTGCTGGCAACCTTCGGATGGCATCCAGGAAAGACACAAACACTTTATAATTCATCACAAACCCCAACAATATTCTAAAGCAAACCTTACACACGGCTCAGTAAGGGAAACCACGAGGGCCAAATTAATGGATTATACAAACCGGAAAAACCATGTAAGCAAAACGTGCATGTTAGTCCTTGTTTGGTGCGGCTTTGATGGGAAGCATTACTTTCATCCGAGGAATGCCCATGGCGAAACCCCGGTGAGCAACCGAGTCTCAAGCCAATGAGGTTAGACAGGCGTGCGCAGGGGACAAGGGGGAAAACCTGCCGGCAGAGCTGGGAGTCTCTGAGATGTGACACACCACGCCTGCAGCCTGCCGGGTTACTCACCTGCTTGCTCACACGGTTGGCGGGCCAGCACCGTGAACATCTTTCTCCTGGCTGCAGGTGAGAAAACACAGAATGACAGCTCACAGCTCCCGACACTTCGGGAGTTCAAAACCCCTGCCCAGGCTAAAACACAAGCCTGCTTCACTACCTCCGAATCAGAACTTCATCCAGGGACAGGGGAGCCCTAACCCAGAACTTGAGAGACAGACTCAAAGCGGGAGCTAAATTCTAGGGTCACCTCTCCAAACGCATGGCAAGGAAGGAAAACGGGCTGAAACTTTAAACTGGAAAATAAAAAAAAAAAATCAAGCCTGTCTTTTTCGGCAGTGTTCAACCAGTACACACCACCCGGGGCAGAACGAATCTTTCTATTATTAACATCCACAGGGCGAGGGCAAGGCTGTTCCTCAAAGCACACCGCAAGGAAGGTTTCTGCGGGTGTTGGTGGCCAGAGGGCCCTGAAGTCGCCCTTAGAGGCCCGGAGGGTATCTTGGCTGCAGGTTGGAAGCCACTGCAAAAGGTCGTGGCCCCTGAGACCCGGCGTCCCCAGGATCTGGGGTGGATCTGGGGTAGGGAGGTGCTCCACTCTGGACTGCATCTCCGCCTGCATCGAAGTGTATCTCCCGCCGCGCAGAGGCGCTGGGTCAAGACGCGGCCACGGCGGCCGGCATGGCGAGGACCACCTCCCCGCCGCCCGGAGGCTTGAGGCTGGCGCGCTGGGTCCCTCCCTCTGACCCTGCTCGACAATCCGATCCTGTTTCACTCCCTTCCAGCTGTCGGCCCTCGCAGCCTCTCGCTCGCGCTTCCGCGGCTCGGGGGCCCCGGCCCCCTCCCTT